CCCCCCCAATATTTTTTTTTTCGGCGCAAACCCTCCACGTGTTCCCGCCAGGTGCGTGCCCAGTCCGCCAGGTGCGTGCGCGAAATGCGATTGAGCGCTTTTGAGCGCGCGCTGCGGGGCTTTGAGCCCGCACGCTCAAACGATTTCATAGTCTTGGCGTGCACACAGGGACACACTCGGTAGTTCCACCCCCAGCACCATTTGCACAAATGTGACTGCCAGAATGTACCTGGACACCAAACATGTGAGCACACATCTGTAAGTATCTGGCCACCTCCACAATTCAGGTGCAACCTCACAGCCTCAAGAGTCATGACCGTAATTGCATGCTTGACTCGATCAGGAGAATTTGCTACCCAATCTGTGCATGCATCGGTGTCCTACCTACCGGTACCCGAATGCCGCAGCAGACAATATTATCATGATTGTGTTTCACTTGCTCGTTCGCATCCGTTGCCATCCAACATTCATTCTTATAGACGCAGCGAATCCTTTATTCTCACAAGGCAGTTTCTGCGCAGAACGTCAGTGGGTCGAACGCACGTTCATCCTGACAGAGGCAATACATGCAGAGGATATTAAAGTGCATTGCATGCACCTGGTTGGATTAAGATGTCCATACAATGTCATTGACTCTCACAGATGCATTTGTGCAACTAAGCTGCTTCTGCACTTAACCTGAAAGACGACCCACATTCACATTCATTCTTACAGAAGCGGCAAAAAGCCTTTATTCTCACAAAGCAGTTTCCGCACAGAGCGTCAGTGAACGGGGTCGCATTTAACGCACTTTCATCCTGATAGAGGCATTCAAATTGCACGCAGAAGATATTAAAGTGCATTGCATGCACCCGCCTGCATTAAGATGTCCACATACATTGATTCTGACAGACGCATCTGCACAACTAGACAATCTTACGACGACCCAAATACATCGTCAAACAGAGGAGCTGCCCGGTAAACCATTGGCAGGCAGAGAGGGAGGGAGAAGAGAAGAGGACAACAAACAAGGGGCTGTGACGAACTGTTTTGTCGGAGTTTCACCGACTCGTCAGGAGGCTGAACCCTCAACAGTCTGCAGAATCCCCTAACTGACTGATTACACTGTAAGCGATAATCCACCTTTACCCCGGCTATATATATATTATATATCGTCACAAATTTATCAGAGCGCATATGCGAAAAAAAGAAGAAGTAAATTCATTTTTTATCTTCTTCCTTACAAGACTCCCCCTGTTCAAAACCTCTTGCCTACAACGCCGCCCACGTGGATGTAGTTGAGCGGCGGCTGCCCCCACCCCCGTGTGTCATTTCGACCCACTTGCACACAGCCAAAAGGCGAAGAGGCAAAGAAAAGAGGAAGGGAACAGCCAAACATTACAGAACAGGGGGCAAACGAATCCTAGATGACAAGTCCCACATGCAAACACCGCCCCCAACAGCACAGGCCAAACGACGGGACAAACCATCCAGGATTCAAGACACAGGAACTGTGAGATGGTTGACCTATGAGCCAGAGGCCATTCTCAACATAAATGAATACCGGAGAACAAATTCTACCATATCCATAGCAAAGCATCTGAAGCAAAGAACCTGGCTATATATTTATATATATATCGTCACAAACAGAACTGCCCGGTAAACCGTAGGCAGAGAGAGAGAAGAGGACAACAAACGAGGGGCTGTGACAAACTGTTTCGTCGGAGTTTCACCGACTCGTATATATATA